GTGTGTGTGTCTGTGTGTATCTCTCTGTGTGTGTGTGTGTGTGTGTGTGTGTGTGTGTGTCTGTGAGCCTGGAAATAAAAGCTCTTCTCTGTACCACCGTCACCTTATCACAGAGCCTACACTTCTCCTTGCATGTGTCTCAGCACAGGGCCGGCTCTGCCTCCCCGGGGCTCTGAGTGCCCATTCCTGGAGCCCATGGGGCCCCGAGGAGTCCCACCAGAAGGAGGCTCCGGGGGCCAGGAGGGGTTGGGGCCAAGGATGCATATTGAGGGATAAGAATGGTGTAAGGTCCAAGGAAATTGGTAATGGGGCAGAAAGCCTGGGTCTAAGGGGTGATTTGAGGAGGGGCTGGGAACAGGGCTGTCTTCATATGAATATTTGAAACTCAAAAGTATCTCCAAGCACCTGCCCCTCCTAGCCTCTCCTCCAGTTCCAGCCATAGCTGTCTGTCTAGTGCCATCTCTTCCTACCTCCAGCTCCACCCAGCCTCCGCCCAGGGCTCTGTCACACGGAGGCGAAGGGAAGGGGCGAGTAGGACTGGGGGCAGGGGGGAATCTGAGAAAGCCATGCCTGAATTGTGACCTTGGGGTGGAGGGACCAGCTGGGTGCTTGGTATTTACACACTGATGGTTGTTTTGTATCATTTGATTAATAAAAAAAAAAAGGAAAAAAAAAGACAGCCGTTGTCTTGATTGGTTATCCCATGGGTTTGAAGGTACATGACATGGGGAAGGGGGTCGGCAGCAGGGAGGCCATGGAAGGCCCCGGATGGTTGGCAGTGGAAGTGAGTGGGGGCTCCTCTTCCCCCATGGGCTTGGCTTGAGGGTGGCTCCCGACCCCAGTGGTGGGAGACCTGCTCCTCTTTGAGGGACAGGTTCCTCTGTGCCCCTGGCCAGGAGATGAGATTGTGGGTGCAGCTGAGGGGAAAGGATGTGAACCCAGAGGTCCTGGGACGTGGCTGACTTGACAAGGGAAGTAGATGGGCAGGTCTGGGTTGGAATCCTTGCTCTGCCACTTGCCATTTTAGGGACTTTGGGCTGATACTCAGAGTCCCAGTTTCCTCATCTGGGAAGTGGGGCTGTTCATAGCAACCCTCCCACCCCCCACCCCTCCACAGGATTGTCCAGGTGAGACAGGGTTGCATCATGTCAAGTGCTCAGCAGATCCTGACACACAGTGAGGAGTCACTGAACATAAGCCGGAACTGTGGGAGTGGGCTCCCTCTCCGCTGTCAGTGGCCATGCTCAGTGAGACAGGCCCTGCCCGGTTCAGAGGGAACTTTGGGGCGGGGTGGAGGAGGGCTTCCTGAGGAGTCCTATGGGGCAAGTTAGGATGGGTTGCAGAGGCCCTGGGAGGTGCCCACAGGTAAGCACTGAACTCCAGTGGGAAACCTGGTGCTTTGCATCCCACCCCCACCCCCTGGCCCCCGGGGCCTGGGAAGCCAGGCCTGGCTTCTCTGCTTCTGAAGGAGTCCAGTCACAGCCCGGAGGACAGAAGGTGGGGCAATGCCACTCTGTACACTTGGAGTCCCCATGGGGTCCAGCTGACTTGATGGCAGCCACACACTTGGGTCTCCGGGCAGACAGCTCCTGGTGGCTTCTTGGGAGCTGGATGTCCAGGGGGCAGACTGGGACTTCCAGAAATCAGGGGCCATTCCTGGAGGAGCCCCAGCAGCAGGGACTTATCTGGGGCCAGCCAGACCTGCCTGGGGGCCTGAAACCGGGCTCCCAAGTGACCCATGTGAGAAGGGGGCTGACTGTCCTTCCCTGCCTTTCTTGCCATGTCCAGCCCTGCTCAGTGCTCAGGCCCTCCAGGTTCTGGTGTCGAGGGTGGGGTTGGGGGAGTGCCAACTTCTACCACTCCCTCTGGAGTGGGGGTGGAGGGGTGTTAAAAAAGGTGTGTATCCCTTTAACAAGGGCCCAACCCCAGGGCCAAGTCAAGAGGGAGCTCAGTCACTATCTCCCCCACAGGAGCCAGCTCCACCAGGCAGGGCAGGGAGGGAGTGGGACAGATTCTGGGAGTGCAGCTGGGAGGAGTCCCAGCTGGGCTGAACGGAGCTGCTTGGCAGTGCCAGAGCCCAGGCCCCAGAGTCCTGTGGGAACAGAAGTGGCAGGTGAGTGCCCTGGGCCCAGCCTGGGTGGGCCTACGCTTCCAGAGAGGCTCCGCAGGCTTCAGGGGCCAGGAGAAAGGGCAATGAATCTGGGCTAGGGAGGCGGACCCCCACCTCCCAGACAGAGGCAGGGCAGGAAGATTCAATGGGTGATTAACTTCCCCCAGTTTGGAATGGGGAGTCCTCAGCACCCCCGGGGTTGGGATTGTGGCTGGTGTAAGGCCTACAGAGGAAGGTATGGAGTGGGGAGACCCCTTTCCCCCCCAGCCGCCAGCTGCCTGGGCTCCTCTCCAGGGGCTGGGCCACTGGCTCTGCCCACAGCGGTCCCAACCCTTTCCAAACAAAAAGAGAGTGTATGTAACACGTTGGTGGGGGCAGGAGGCGGGTCAGACTCTGGTCGCTGGCCTCTCTGGGTTCTGGGGCCGCGTTCTGTCCTTCTGTTCCGGAGAGGTAACGGGCCCAGGAGGAACCAGGGAGCGAAAGCAGGGGCTGAGGTGGCTTCTCCTCTACCTCGGAGGTCCCCATTGGACTCTGGGAACTGACCAGGAAGGGACTCTGTGAGGCTCCGAGGGAGCCTGGGAGCTTCAGAGAGGGAAAGGGGTAGAAGCTCAGCCGCTTCTCCACCGCAGGTCCCAAGCAGGTCCTGGCTTGACTTGCTTTGCTTGGCACAGCCATCTGCACGGCAGGAGCCTCCCCCTGCCCAGACCTGTGAGTGGGGTTGAGGGCAGGGCTGTTGGGAAAGGGAGCACTGGGGTGCTGGTTCTAGGGGCTCAGTCTTTCTTCCCGGAAGAGGCCCCATCAGCCTGCGTGTGTGTCTCCCCACTCCAAATTGCTCCAACCTCACTTGGGCACGTGTCTGGAAGAAGCTTCAGGGCAGCCAGGGTTTTTCTGCAGCTGCATGCTGCAAAGGCGGAAGCAGGCGAAGGTGGGTGGGCTCCTCCGGCCGAGGGAGCAGGAGTGGCATCCTTCTTCGCTGTGGGTGTGAGTCCCTTGCATTGGACTGTGGTGAGTGTGGGAGGGCTGGGGAGGAAGAGATGGAGTGCTTGTATGAGGCGCCGAGAGTTTTGTCTCTTGGCGCTGAGGAGAGTTCGAGGAGAAAGACCAGAGAACAGGGCTGTTCAGGTTGAGTTCTTTGAAATGGCATGGACACTCACCCGGCTGCCATCAGCAAGGTCAGCAGTTCGAAAGCCCCAGTCGTGAGGGAGAAAGATGAGGCTTTCTCCTCCTACTGTAGTCTTAGTCCTCCCTTGTCCTCTAAGGCCGCCTCTGTGGCAGTGAGGCTGGCTTGGGTTTTGCAAATAGAGCCTCTCCAGCCCAGCCAGGGAATGAGCGAGAGAATGAATGTGTCCCTGAAAGAGTGAATACATGAGCAGTGAATGATTGGGTCAGCCACGGAAGGGTGTGAAGGAATGGAAGGTCAGTGGAAGGGACAGAGAGGATGCTAAGTTCAGAGCTGAGGGAGGGCCAGGCTCTGGGGAGAGTGGTGCCTGGGAGGGGTGGGCGTCCCAGGAGGTATCCGACTCTTTCCAGTCATGTAAGCCTCAGGAAGTGTGCGTGGAGATGGGAAGCGAAGCGGCACTGTGAAGGCGTGGTGGGTGCTCAGGACTCTGGGTGGAAGGGGACCTGGGAGTTGATGGGGTGGGGTGAAGAACCTGGGGGTGGGAGGGCGGGGCTGGGGTGGCGGAGATCCAGGGGATGGTGTCAGGGCAATTTGGGCTCTGGAGCAGTCAGCAAGCCTGAGTGGAGGTGGGCGGGAGCCTCCTGATTGCTCAGTGAGTCAACAGGGGAGAAGACAATGAGAACGTTGTGGGGAGGGGGCTGGGGGCCCAGATGAGAGGGTCCTTGGAGGACAAATGGTCCCTACCCCCAATTTTCGGAAAGGCTCCAACGCTGCACATTGTTGCTGACTCTTAGGTCAGGGTCTCCCTGTGGCGATTCCGGTGGACCCTTCCCAGGGAGGAGTGGGTGGGGCAGCAGCCCTCTCCTTGTGCCTGGTGGGAGGATGGGGCTGGCTGGAGGGGTGAGTGGCTGTGGGATGGGTGGGGTGGCAGATCCTGTGTCCTGGCCCCCAGGGAGGGGGAGGAGGGACTGTACCACTGTGCCCTATGCTCAGAGAAGGCCTGTCCAGCCGGCTATCTCCAGCATCGGTCACTTGACTTGTGTGTGTGTCTGTGTGTATCTCTCTGTGTGTGTGTATGTCCGTATGTGTTTGTCGGGTACCTGGGAGAAGGCCCTGGGAATTGAAGCCCAGAGAGCTACCTCTCTGGGGTCATTCAGCACAGCTGACTGCAGTCAATGGAGCCCCTTGGCAGGCTCATCCTGGGTGCTGCCTGGAGGCGGCTGCCAGAGGCTGGGCAGGGTGTTGAAGAGGGGCTGGAGAAGGAGAAGACAGGTGGCGGGCGGGGTGGGTGGGCCAGAGAGAGCAGAGAGACACGCTGCCCCCCAAATCATGCTCCTCCCCTTTCTGTCCCCAGTGGGCTTCAGGTCCCTCAGGTACAGAACAAGGTCCGTGCTGGCCAGGATGAGGGCACCCTCTGAGTTTCTCCCCATGCCCATGGTTCTTGCTCAGAAGCAGGCTGGAGACCTTCCGGAAGGGAGTTCCACTTTCAGCATCAGCAAGGACAAGGACAAGGACTTGCCCCATTCAAGGGCAACAGAAGGGGCAGCTTATGTATTGAAAACACTTCCCCTCACGTCACTTGTGAAAGCTAGAATGTTCGTTTTTTTTTAATGGACAGCTTAAACACCAACACCCTACAGTTAAACTGGCAGCAAGTACCCAGTAAGGAAAAGAATAGGGTTTCTCGAGGTCTCAGCCTCATCCCCCATCATCCTTGGGTCACCGAGCAGAGTGGTCAGGCGGGCGAGGAGGGACAGAGGGAAGCCAGGGTTCCCTGCCAGAGATGGCCAGCCACCTCAGCCTCATCCTTCTCCCCGGCCTCTCCTTCCTTGCTGCTCCCTGGCCCTCTCTCCACGTCCCAGCCTCCCTGAAGGAAAAGCTTTTGGAAGGCAGAGGCCTGCCCCAGCTCAGAAGTGTGCGGGCCAGGGGCCATGGCTCCCTGGTGTCAGGACCCGCAGGAGAAGGGGGACCATTTTAAAAACTTTTGCAGGGAGATTGAAGCAGGCAGTTGGTAGGTCTGGGGATTAAAGCAGCATGTTCCCTGGATGCCAGTCTGGTTGTTCATCTCTGGGCCTGTGGTTTGGTAGGGAGGGGCTGGGGGTTTTGTGTGGCAGTGCTGTCCTGGCTTCAAGGACTATGTGGGGAGGCGGGCTCCAGGAAGAGGCTGGGCCGTCCTGCCATGGGCCCATGCCAAGGCTGGGCAGGGAACACAGCTGGCTGGCTATATCTGTGGGAGTTGGAGGAGGGTGTTGAGGGCAGGGGTCAGAGCAGGCTTCCCACAGGAGGTGTGGCTTGGGCAGGGCCAGAGTGAGGGGTAGGCTCTTTCAGGTGGTGCCAGGGGAGTGGGTGTGGGCGGAGGAGCAGGGAGAGCCACAGGCTGGGTGAGAGTTGGATAGCAGGTGGTGAGCGCAGGCCTCAGGGGTGAGGGTGGGGGCCTGGCACAGCAGGCAGCTGGTCTGAATCAGACAGTGGGCTGCCCTGGGCCCCAGACTGGCACTGCCCGCTATGTCCACCAGGCACCAGGCGAGGGCGGCTGGAGTTCATGCTTGGGCTTGGGGGTGGGAGGGGAGTCTGATTTGCCCGGGTTGACTTGGGGGGGCTCTGGGCATGGGCGGTGACTCCCAGAGCAGATCCGCCTGCTCCCCTCATATCCTGTTATTCAGAAGCCTGTATCCGCTTAGCATGAGAGTGCCTTTTGTCCTGGGCTGAGGGGGATGCGCTGAAGGGGATGTGGTGCTGAACTGTCAGTCTGCCGCTGTGTCAGGTCCGGTCGACTGCTGCTGAGGGTGGGGGCACCAGGCCTGGATGTCCGCCTAGGTAATGGGTCATGTGAGTGGGTGGATTCTCGCTCCAGATTTAGGGGTGGGTGTGGCCGGGGCCTTCTGCCCAGTGCTACTCAATGGATCCAGGACTCTCCCCTTTCCCAGAGAGGGGCCAGCCATAGTTGGACACCCTGGCCTCATTCCCCTTGGTTCGGCCTGCTGGGGGCTGGGGGAGGGCCTCAGTCTCTACCACCTGTTTTGTTGCCTAGGGCGAGTGCCGCCCTTGCCCTCGGCCAACCCTGCAGGCAGAAGGGCAGGTGAGCATTCTTAGCCCTGCCCTTCTCGGCTCACCTCTGCAGGGCTGGGCTTGGCCAGGTGTGGAGTTGGGCAGGAGGGGTGAGCCAGTACTCTCCTCTTCCCATGGGAGTCTGACTGTGACTCTGACAACCGGCAGCCCAGGCCTGGGGCTGGGGCAGGACCCGGAGAACCTGCTGGGGCGGTTGAACCAGGCAACACCTGGATTAGGAGAGCCACATCTTTGTCATTCCAGCACCCCACCCCCCAAACTACTTATGACAGCCTCCCCCCTGTCCTATCTCCTCATGAGGGTGGGGGGACAGAGAGGGGGCAAGGGCAGGGGGTCAGCGTGGGGGGTGGTTGGCCTGTGTGTGGTGGGTCTTCTGAGGCTCCCCTCCCTTGTGGCCCAGGCCCCGGGAGCAGGAGAAGCGGAGCGATGGCAGACTGTTACACGGAGCTGGAGCAGGCCGTCGTGGTCCTGGTGGAGAATTTCTACAAGTACGTGTCTCGGCACAGCCTGGTCAAGAACAAGATTAGCAGGAGCAGCTTCCGCAAGATGCTGCAGAAGGAGCTCAACCACATGCTGACGGTGAGCCCCCCCACCTTGGGAGGTGCCCCCCACCCCGCCTCTCACCCCACCCCTTTCCTCTGTCCTCTCAGGGGCCCCCCTCCCCAGACTCTCATCCCCCCCGCCTCTTTCCTGCATATCCCATCAGGGTCCCCCCACCTTAGGGCCTCTGTCCTCTCCTCCTGGGTGCCCAGCCCCCAGCCACAGGGGCTCTATTTGCTTTCGCAAGGCACAGGCTGCCCTGGCTAGATTCCTTGGACTCTGCCCAGGGTCCTGTCCTGTCTGGGGACTCCATGTGGCTGCCACCCTCATAGCTGCTGACCTCTGGTCCCTCTGCAGGACACGGGGAACCGAAAGGCCGCCGACAAGCTCATCCAGAACCTAGATGCCAATCACGACGGGCGCATCAGTTTTGATGAGTACTGGACCTTGATAGGCGGCATCACCAGCCCCATCGCTAACCTCATCCGCCAGCAGGAGCAGGCCACTGTCAGTTAGGGCCCCTCCAGGCCCTGACCCTGACGCCCAGCCCCCATGCTCTCGGCCAGGCCCCTCCTCAGTGTTCTCTGCCCACCAGCTTTCTCAGCTTCTCCCCTCTGACCTTCTTGCCACCCTTGTGAACAGGGTCTCTGTTTTCCGTTGGGGGGTGCTGCTTCTCTGAGAGTCTCAGTCCCTGGAACCAGTGAACATTCTTCTGTGAAATCTCAATGCTGTTTGGGGAGCCCAAGGGTTTCCTCGCCTGTCTAGCCCACCGACCTGTCCAATACGTGTGGTAGTTCTTGATGGTTGGTGCCAACCTCCTGCAGGGGTAGCCCTCTGCTTCTGGCAGCAGCAGAAGTGACTGCCCCCATCCTTTGCCCCCATGCTGGGTAGAGAAGTAGGTCCAGGGCTCCCCTCGGGCTGCCACTGTGTCCCTCCATCCGGGAATGCGCTAAGCAGGCCTGGGCCTCCTCCCTCCTGCTCAGCCGCTGGAGAATGGCAATAAAGGCTGGATTTGGAGTTTGTATTCCTTTCACCCGGTTCTTTTGTGTTGCTCAGTCGAAACTTTCCACCCCTGGGTGCTCTGGGCCCTGGGGCAAAGGGGGTGGGGGGCTCTCCCGGAGACAGAGTGCCGAGGAGGGTCAGGGCAAGAAAGAAGGCCAGATTCCTGGCCTCCAGCAGGTACTGCCCTCCTGCCTCACAAGGGGTGATGGTCACACATCACCGTCTCTGGGCCCTCCCAGCACAGAGGCACACTCAACCTTGAGGCACACAGTAGGTCTCCACCAGTCCTCACCGGTCAGTCCTGTGTGACAGGACCCATGAGCAGGGCCGTGAGGCCTGGGTTGCCTGGGAGCACAGCCTTCCAGGTCACAGAGCAGTTTGTGGGGTGCCGGGGAGGGAGGGGTGAGCGAGGCCAGCGGAAAGGAAACACCTCTTGTAGCTGCAGTCGGGGTGCCACCTCCTGTTTCTCCCTCTGCCCCTCCCTGAGCGAGGGCCCCCGTCTGCGGGAGGAAGGCAGGGAACACAGTCTGAAGAGCTGTGTCAGTGATGGCCAACTGGGATAGTGAGCGTCCCCGGCGGGCGGCGGGGGCCAAGGAGCATCTCCAGGCTCTGCCCAGGCCCAGGCAGTTTGGTTGGAACCATGCACAGAGCCTCTGTCTCGTCCAGCTGGTCCGTGTCCGGCCAGGCCAGTAGTTGAGACATCCCCCTTGGCCCGCCTGCCCTTCACAACAGCCCTTCCCAGTTGCCCCTCACCTGTCCTGACAGTCACTGGGCTGCCTCAACTGGATGGTACAGAATGTGCTCACATTGGTTAGTTTTGTCCAATTGGTAGTAGATGACACCAAACTCATTGCTGCTGAGTGGGTTCCAACTTATAACAATTCACAGAGTGTCTGAGACTGGACTCTTCACGGGAGGAGACCAAGACCAACGGCCAACCCACTGCCCTCGAGTCAGGGCTCACCCCAGCAACCCTCGCTGGGTTTCTGAGTGGAAAGTTCATGCTCTCTCCCAAGGAACTGCTGGTGGTTTTGAACTGCCGACCCGTGTGGACCGCAGCCCAACTCATAACCACCAGGCCACACCACTGGGGCACCTTTCTCCCTCAGGGTGCTGGTGGGTTTGAACGGAAACCCTGCGCGTGTGGTTCGTGGTTCCTTTAATGAATGAGGACGGCTATCGGGTTACCATAATGCTTGGGTTCCATCAGATGCATGCTTAAAACGGAGTTTTACCAGCTTCATTGAACAATGTCAGATGATCTACTATTTTCAGAGATCACACCCAATGGAAACTTAGAATGAAAACTCTGAGCCGCCACCCTGAAAATGTGCCTGGTTGTCCATTGATCTCGAGGAGTATTTTGGGAGCTGTAAGTGGGGGTGGCGTCTGACCTTCTCTGACTTCACCTTCATGTGGTGGGGGTGGGGGTGGGAAAGAAAAACCAAGAGCAATAGCCTGAGGCTGACTCCCACGAGGTGGAGGCCAGAAATGCCTCCTCTGGGTGACCCATGGAGGACAGCACAATTGACCCGTCTCTTCACCTTGTTGACATGGTCCCACCCCCAGAAGAGCGCCATGTGCCTTAGTTGCGTTATTACCCAGCGAGCTAATCTCCTTGGTGAATCACTTGCATATCCATATCCCGACCATGACTCACCCCAAACCAAACTCCCTGCCGTCGATGCTGACTCATCGTGACCCTAGAAGAGATGGGTTGACTTGCCCCTGTGAGCTTCTGCGATGGCAAATCTACAGGAGCAGAAAGTCCCCTCCTTCTGCGGAGCAGCTGGTGGCTCCCACCTGCAGACCCACTGGGTGACGCCCCTTGGGCTCAGAAGGGTGTCAATGCAGCACAGGGACCACCCAGGCAAACCTTTGGAAAACCGACCCTTGCTTTAAAGGGTAGCAGGGGTCTCTGGGTGCTACAAGGTGTGCTAGCTTAGCTGGCAACCCAAGAGCCGTTTGGGCTCCCGGTGACTCTTCAGAAGAGAAGCCGGGTGACCTAATGCTGAAGCATTGACTATCGAAACCCAATGAGGCACGCGGACGGGGTTGCCGTGCATCAGAACAGATTCAACATCCGCTGTTCTTTACTCATCCAGGTGTGGGGGGGAAGGGGGGCCCACGGGGGGCAGGCGCTGAGCTGGGATGAAAGGGGACCAGTGACCAGCAGCCTCTGGGAGGCAGAGCAGGGTGGGCAGGTGCTAACCAAGACCACAGGCGGGTGGAGGGCCCCTCAGGTTCCCCGGAGGAGGATCTCCTGAGAACTCCCAGAGCAGCCCACACGTCTCCCCACTTCAATGACCCGATGACTCCTCAGTATTTAAAAAAAATCATTTTATTGGGGGCTTGTACAATTCTTATCACAATCCATACATACCCTGTTTTCCTAAAAGTGTGACATCTCCCAAAAATAAGACCTACTTACAGTTTTGCCTCTCGCTGAAATATAAGTCATCCCACCGAAAATAAGACCTCTCCCAAAATAAGGGCCCCCCCCAAAGCTCCCGTGACTCTGGACTCTGGACCGTAGTGGCGGGGCGCCACCGCACAACTCACTGTTGGCTGCAGCGCAGCTGGAGCAGACAGGAAGTGCGAGGTCTGTTTTAATAACACAATAAACAATAAATGTGTACCGTATTCTTCTTCATGGAAAAATAAGACATCCCCTGAAAATAAGACCTAGCACATCTTTGGGAGCAAAAATGAATATAAGACACTGTCCTATTTTGGGGGAAACAGGGTACATCCATTGTGCCAAGCACATTTGTACATTTGTTATTATCATCATTCTCAAAACATTTGCTTTCCACTTGAGCCCTTAATATCAGCTCCTCAGTTTTTCTCCTCCCTCCCCCCTCCCCCCTCCTTCATGAACCCTTTATAATTCATAAATTATTATTATTTGGCTCCTCGGTATTTTCAACCTTCCACATGGTGCCTATTCCCTTAGTGGACCAACATTCTGTCTCCTTCCAATGAGAGAAGGGAAATTGTGTCAGGGTGGGGTGGGACGGGGTGGGGTGGTGGTAAATGTTATCTCTGGACAAGAGATCAGGAGGGTGGGAGCAATCTTAAACTGTTCCCTAGGGACACTCATGTTTCCTGGAGCGCCTGGCTCTGTCCCCTCTCCTGCCTCCCCCTCTCCTCCAAGTTGGCCGCAGCCCAGCACTTCTAACATGCCTCTAGTCCAGCGTTTCTCCCCCTGTGGGTCTCAACCCTCTTGGGGGGTCGAACGACCCTTTCACAGGGGTTGTCCAATTCATAACTGTAGCAACATGACAGGGATGAAGTAGCAATGAAAATAAATTTCTGGTTGGGAGGTCCCCACCACATGAGGAACTGTACGAAAGGGCCGTGGCATGAGGAAGGTTGAGGAGCACTGGTCTAGCAGGCCACCGTTTTCCGTGGCTCCTCCTTCAATTTGAATCGTGGTGCCGGAGAAGAATAGCAAAAGTACTAGGGACTGCTGAAAGGGCAGACCCATCCGTCTCGGAAGAAGTGCAACCAGAGTGCTCCTTAGAGGTAAGGGTGGTGGGACTTCATCTGACACACTTTGAACCTGTTGCCAAGAGATGCCTGTCCCTGGGGAAGGAGGTCATGTTTGGGAAAGTAGAGGGACAGTATACAAGAGGAAGGCCCTCAGGAGATGGATCGACACCGTGGCTGCAACAAGAGACTCACGCACGGGAACTATGGTGAGACGGGCGCAGGACGGGGCAGTGTTTTGTTCTGTTGTGCCTAAGGTCACTATGGGTCGGAACCGACTTAATCACATCTAACAACAACAGTGACAGTGGGACGCGGAGGGGGATCTCCGTTTAAACCCGGGTCCTTGATGAGGACGCTGAGCTTCAGTGGAGGCCAGAGAACTTCAATGGCAGTCAGGGCTTGGGTTTCTGGGCCTGGAGCCAGAGAAGTCCCCGAGGAGTGGAAGCAGGCACGGCAGGGGCAGGCAGCGGGCTTCTGGGGAGTGTTAGGGTCGGAGAATGACTTGCCCTCCTGGCTCAAGGACAGAGCTCATCTCAGTCCAGTGATGCAGGCTGGCCACCCGAGGGATGGGTGGAGCCATAAGCAGGCCCCAGTCTGACTCATCTTGTCGTAGGAGGGTAAGAACGATAGGACCCCTGGTGTCAGCCTTGGCCCCCGCCTGTGCACTTGGTTTGGTTTTGTATCGTAAAACTCCCTTGTGAAAAGTTGGACCGCCCTTCCTGCTGGCTCCTTGTGAAAGGCATTCCAAACTACTTTCCTGCCGGAGGGCCGTTGGGTCCTGCCGGCAGCCCTGTGAGCTAGGAGTCCTGAGGCACCGTTTAGAGATTAAAATATCCAGGGCCCGAGATACCATGGGGCTTTCCCACGGGAGCACTACCTGTGATGCGATGGTGATCCGTGGTCAGCAAGCAGTGCCTCAGACCCCATCCAGCCTAACGTGGGAAGGGAAGAGGCTTCTGGCCCAGAGCTTGGCCCAGGAACTGCGGAGGCCAGGAGTGCCTGCTACAGGCCCCGTATGGAGGGACGGTGACTGCTTCTGTGGCAGACCCATTCATTCATCCATTCATCTATTCATTCACTCACTCACTCACTCACTCACTCACTCAGAAGGAGGGCCTTGTCTGGACAGATATGTTTCCTGATTTTATGAGGCTCATCATTCAGAGGCAGGAGACAGTAAACAGCCATGATCCAATAACCAATTACTGTCAAGTTGATTCTGAGCAGGACAACCCTGTATGTGTCAGTGTAGAAGAATTGCGCTCCCTAGCTTTTTTTTTAATTTTTAATTTTATTATGATCTGAGTGGAAGTTGACAGAGTACATTGGTTTTCCCTTCAACCCCGCATGCAGATTGTGCTTTGTGACGCTGACTGCTATCCCCACAATCAGACGGCACTCTTCCGGCTCCTTCCCTGCCTGGACGGTTCCTGTTAGGCCCTCTTTCCTACTGCTCCCTGCCTTCCGAGCGGGATCCCCCATCTCATACAGTCGATTGGTCTAAGGGGTGTGTACCTTCCTGCTGTC